TTCCTCTCCCTGCTGCTGCTGCTGCTGCTGCTGCTCCTGCTGCTGCTCCTGCTGCTGCTGCTGCTGCGCCCAAGGCCATACAGCAGCAGCAAGCAGGGGCTTGGTTGCATGCGTGGATAGTATCTGTAGGATAGCATCTGCTTTGTGTGTGTTTTTTTCTGTTTCTGCTGCAACAGCTTCTGCTGCTGCTTCGAGTGTATCTGCTGCTGTTGCTGCTGAGTCAGCTAGGTCATCAAGACTATCGCTAGCTTTTCTTGCTGCTGCTGTTGCTGCTGCTGCTGTGTCTTTTATGTTTTTGTTGCCTGCATGCATCCAGCTGCTTAATAGAGAGCCCCATGAGCTTAGTGCTGCTTGTGCATCTGCTGCAGCAGCTTCGAGTGTATGTACAGCTTCTTCTGTTTTTTTTGCTGTTTCTCCTGCTACTGTTGCTGCTGCTGCTGCTGCTGTTTCTGCTGCTGCTGCTGCTGTCTCTGCTGCTGCTGCTGACTCTGTCTCAATCCTTCTCCCAAAGATAGATATAATTTCTTTTGCATGCTTTGCTGCTGCTGCTGCTTTTTCTGCTGCTTCTGCTGCAGCACGTCGAGCCACTTCTGCTGCTGCTGCTGTCTTCTCTGCTGCTGCAGCAGCAGACTGCAGCGTATCGCTCGTGCTGCTGCTCATGGATTGCTGCAGCTCCGAAGCCCAAGAGGAGAACGCATGCTTTGCATCTTTTGCTTTATTTGATAGATCTCTTGCTGCTGCTCCTGCTGCTGCTGCTGCTGCTGCTGTTGTCTGCTGCGCTGCATGCATTGCTGCATCTGCTGCTCCCGGGGCCACCTGCTGCAGCATGGCCCCCAGCGTATACAATCCGTGCTGCGCCTCTTTAGCAGCACCTGCTGCTGCTTCTGCTGCTGCTTCTGCTGCTGCTTCTGTTGCTTCTCTTGCTGCTGCTGCTGCATGCATGGGGCCCTCACCCTGCAACCAACCCCAGGGGCCCTCCTCCACAGCATGCTGTATACCTTCGCCTGTGCTGCTGGCTGTATCTTCTGCTGCTGTTGCTGCTGTTGCTGCTGCTTCTTCTGTTGCTGCTGCTGCATCGTTTATGCTGCTCGTTGCTGAG